TCTTCCGTCAAGATGCCGTAAAATAACCGGTGAACCGTAAGATAAACTATACGGGGCGTCTAGACAAGTCTGGCTCAAGCGTGAGAGGTAGAGGTTCAAATCCCCGCTATGTGTAGGCTTCTAAAGTGCCCTTTTGGAATATGTAGAACTGCATTAACCACAAAGGATGTAAAAAAATCTCCCACGGTGATCCTCAAAAGCAATTCGTCCTCCCTAGATAAAACAACTCTTATTCATCTAACGCAAGCGATGAATCACCATTGCCCTTGATGCTTTTTTGGCAATAATCAGGTACTTTAAACTAAATTGAAATCAAAATGTTAACTTGAATTATTCCGTTTTATTTGTTTGGGTATATTACTCGGACAGGTTGCCAGGCGCACACTTATGAGGTTTTGTTATTTGTTCATAATGTTCATTTCACACAAGTCATTGAGGTACCGATAGAATTGTTTGCCTATTGACGGTTTCTGTAGTAATCGAGATAGGCACGGATTACGGACCACGAATCACGGTCACAAGTAAGGCACAGAATCGCACTGGCAATCGTAAGCCGGAATCATTAGTCACCGAGACGCGAGAAAAAGTCCACAAAAGTAGTGTTTAGTTTATTGAGGAAAATCAGGGGGATCAAATGATGTGTACAAAGGAACCTCACTGCTCTTCACCAATGGTTTGCTTCCATTCTTGATCCCTTACATTTTCGGTTTGAATCGCACGGTTCCTGATTAGCTGTGGACTTTTTCCTGCGTCTCGGTGACTAGAGATTCCAGTTTACGATTGCCAGTGCGATTCTGTTTCCGTTGGATTTTATCAGATAGAAATATTGTTATTAAACAACACAGAAATGAACAAAGTATTACAGAGAAAATCTCTTTTCGTTAACATAGGAATGAGCATCAGAAACCCACAGTACTAAAAAATATCCAAAACCTGATGACGGCAGACTAAACTAAAACGATCTACCACGCACATGGAGGCAAACACTTTAATTCAAAACTCAAATAGTTGGGATTACTTCATTCATTGTGTTGACGGCTGTGGAAGACAGCTGGTTCGGTAAGCCAACCATTTACGCTGAAAGCAAGGTGATTCAATTTCACAAACTTAGCTGACAGACTTTGATCTGTGACCTATAATGTGACGAACAGTTGAAATAATGGTTTATTGAGTCGATAAAAAAGTTTTGTGTGGAAAATCTCAACACGCTGAATTTTACATTTTCTCTTCTCCCAGACCACCGTTGGGTGAAATCCAAGTTCCGATCGGTTGAGCATTCCAACTCAGGTTTTGCTGTTTTCCGGACTTTTCCCTCATTGTGTTGGTCCCATGGGCATGAACGGCGGCTTGAATCACAGCGTTTTCCTCGCGGCATCTCGCTGTCTTCCTGGATTGTAAGAACACTACACTTGTTTGTCGATAAGACTCTTATTCTTTGTAGCACATTGCTTTAAACATAGCTGCAAAGCTACTGCTTTTATTGATCGCGCAATTCTTCTTGAGCGTGTTGTGCTACTGTTTTGACCTACCTCTCCATCCGGTATGCATATGCCCTGTTCTACAATATGACCAAATAGCGGAATACACTTCGAGAATTTCAACCTTCACTTTATTTCCTATTTACCACTGATCAATTATTGCTGTTTCACACTGAACTTAGAGGATAGGCTCAGCATTTCTACAGATTTGACGTTTATCAACCACAAGCTTGCGTCGCATAAATAAGTATTACCCGTCAAATAAGTTGATGGATCGAACAAATGTATTCGGCGATCTATAAAATGGATGGTTGTACTCAAGAGTTCGGCCTAGAGACCGTTTTTGTAGTCAAGTGTACTTTCTTCCTTACATGAAGCGTCTTTATGGTATCCGTAGTATTAATAATATTTACTTTCCAAATTTGAATAAGAAACAGGCAAATAAACAATTTACAAGATGGAGGTCGTCACCAATGGAGGTGTTTCCACTGTGAACGCCCCCACTCAGGATGAAAAAGNGTACACCGAGAGCCTGTTTGTTATTTGGTAATTCAGAACCAGACATGGAGAAGGAAAAAAATGTCAAGGGGAAATACAAGGCTGCATGTCATCAGCGTTAACACAAATAAGCATTCATCTGGGCGAATAGATTGTACCTAAGTGAGGTGTAATAGTAAACACAGCGATCTGCACAAATATGGTGATTCTGGTCCACAAGATAGCTCTAACCACGGTGCGACACGTTACAGTTTCCGGGCTACGAACAGCCTTCTGCAAATCGGCTAGTTGTATTTGCTCACTGGACTAAGTACCAACACAACGACTGCCGATACGTTAGCTCACTCCATTGAGGTATTCGGTGCACTACAATAGGTGTGCATCGAGAGCAGAGCATGGTCGGCTAGTCACACAGTCTGCCCCCGATTGCAGTCACCATCTCGGCTTGAATGCAATTTTATCAGCCGGAACAAGTCACTTGTCTAAAATCCAGAACAGGCCATACTAAAAGGCGGACGAGAAACAGTGAACCAACACAGGCGGATCAATAGCACGAGGTGAACCAGAAAAAAGCCAAACTCGAACAGAGTAAGGAATCAACGGTGTAATGAATGGGGCTGTGTGTATGAGCATACCCATACAGAGTTGATCAGACCAGTGTACTAAGCCCAAAACTATGCTCACTGGTTTTGGCAGATATCTCAGGGCCACATGCTTGTATCCCTCTATGCGATCGTTTACAGTAACTTCGGAAAATAAAGAAAAACTAATACAGGTTATCGCTAGATCCGCGAAAAAATACATGGGCCGAAAGATGATCTCTTCGAGGGAAACTTTGCCTCAAAACTCATGAGAAGGATTTCAAATAAGTGCCATTTTTACAGCACTCGAATGTCAATAGTGACACCTGTTCAAAAGTACCGAAATTTTTATCGAGAAACTGTACGCAAACAAAAAAAGCCACTTCGTGTCCATCGCATTATTGCTTGAGACGAGCCAATGTGATGGCTTTCGTAAGCACTGGAATGTTCGTTCTCAGGGTTAAAGTAATACAAGGAAATGAACGTAATCATACATCTTATTTCCTAGTGAACTCCATCAAAAAGAACACCCGCGGTAAACCAATGGAGAGAATGAAGTTCTGACAGCTTAAAACTAGACAAAGTGGACTAATGGCAGTGGACCCCAGCGATCAGTATAGCAACACCCAATTGCTGCTTCATTTATCCATAAGTGATATTCGCGCATAATAAATGCGTGGCATTTTGTCTGCAAAATGCACACCATGTTTGGGCGTTCATAAGGGCAACTAGACCTTGTCTCTTCCTTCCGTAAAAACTATTTATTAGTCTTCTGGTTTCGACGGGACAGTACGAGAATAGAACGCGTCCCAATGAATGCACTCTAAGCGCATTTTACCGGCATATACCAAAAACGTTCTGCCTATTATTCCACACAAGATATGGGATTTTTCACACTACCAGAAAGCAAACCACCACCCAATGTTAACTTAGCTACTTAAGAATTTAGACCGGGTGATCAACAGATCGAAAACTCAATGCTAAGAACACAGTTTAATCATAGTTAAGTGCACTTTACTCCGGTGAAAGTGGGCCAAACGGAAAAGCAACATTTTAACCTTATTCTCAAAAAAATCGTCTGTGCATCTGCTGATGAAAAGTCGACCGGTTTATTTTGACCTTCCGCTGGCCGTGAAAATCAGTTCACAGGTCTCAGCCATTGTAAGAAGGGCTTAACCGAATGTGTGACAAGGCGCATTTGGTCTGGCTGAATGGATCAGTTCTGCGTATTCGGGGAAAACACGAGGAATTCCATACCTTTTTCAGTCACCTAAACCGATCACGAGCTCCTTCAAACAGAATCGGTTCCGAGGCCAACAGATGAATTAAAGAGAAAGCAAATGACAATTGGAGAGTTGAAAATAATATAAAATTACTCACTGCTTTTAACCGGTCGACTCTCCGTCAAATGAAAGACGATCCTGAGGGTGGGATGGTGAATGGGCCTGTTAGTTGTGACCATGGTTTGCTACTTAATCCAGTTTCACTTGAATAAAGCGAAAACGAACAGTTGTTGAATCTTCTCTTCAGCAGCGTTTATTGATCAGCCACATCACCCGGTAGGTGCTCCTTGCATTTAAAAACTGAACTATTGTTTATTTGTCATAGTGACCAAGAGCCTCTGACGTTACATCATAGGCAAGAAGGTGAGATACTATCCACACTGCACTAGCAGTATTTGGTGCGCGAACAGCGCAACAGCCTCAGTTTCCTCACAAGGTCTAAGAGCACCATGTCCTATGTCGAACTGCAAAAACACGTGTGTGAAGTAATGGGAAGGATGGAGTGTTAACTCATATGGTTTCTTCTGTGTGATTCGAATTTAAATCGGTAAGCCCCGAATAGCCGATAAGCCTACATATGCCTACATATGATATGCGGCATATCCATTCGGGAATACGCAAATTGCTTATCCCACGATTTTTGCTGAGATCTCATATTTAAAACCACCTGTACCGAACGTAGTTGCTCCGTTTTGTTACGCTCATACACATAACTACGATGGTCATGGTAAACTAATGTCTGGAAATCTAAGGCAACACCTGCATTGCGAATACCAGTTGCGCACCCTTGTAAAAAGTACGGCTATACAAGCAGTCTTTCGGTAGTTTATTCGCTTGTTTATACAGGCCACGCCAGAAAGACGAGCTCGGGTGATTCAAGTCTCCATCGCATCCACACAACCAGATTCCCACGACTCCATCCCCGCCTAATGCTAGGTTCCTGTGGGAAGGATTGGTCCAGGCAGAATCCTCAAAGGATATTGACGCACAAAACACGGTCATTTATAGGACATATTTTGTTATTATTATTATTAGTGGTAAACAGTGCTTTTTATAATAAAAAACAATAGAAGGAACTAACTGTCAGTGAAGCACATACACAGTGTGATAAAATGCAGCTGATATAATATGCACGTGATCAGAACAACCAAAAACCAGTCTCATTGACTTTTGTTCAAAATTGGTGCTTCAACAACCAACGTGTCATTCTGGTCGAACAGCTTTGCTTGCAAAGATAACGGATCCACGGAATGAGGTATTGGATAAGAACGTTGGAATTCACGCACATAGACACCCTTCCCCTGTGAGCCAATCTCTTCCTCTTTCTCCTGTCTCCCGGAAACAATCAAATGATTTCCGCTGGTGCTCACGTGCAAATCATCCGTTTTGAAGCCGGATTCGACGGGGACTTCTATGTGTAGACGCCCGTGTCCTCCACCAGACTCGCCGGACAACACAGTTACGCCAGGCTTACCTAGAATCGAAAAAGGTTACGCGTAGCAAATTTAGGAAAGTTTTGGGGAAAGATTGATGGAATGCATAAGAATGAATCGACTTTAGAATCTCTGATGTCGGAATACTGTCGCAAAGACTGAGCACACCACGCACTTACCAATAAGCTGTATGGCCTTATCATGGGTTGACGGAGTGGGTTCAATACCCAGCTGACGGTCTTTATCATACTTGATTGCACCAACCTCCTCCGATTTGACAGGGGCCTCCACTGTTAGAATACCGTCCTAAATGAATAGAGAGCAAAACTTTCATTGAAGACAAACAGAGATTGGCCTGTTTTTGTGGAAATCTGACGAATATTCAGAACCAATTCGTACACTGAGAGTAAAACGGGTAAAATAATCCACCCCGAATCAACCAAAATCTCTGACTCACTTCACTTAAGTTTGAAACAAAATGATCTGATTCCACCTTATCAGGAAGGTACACGGTACGACAAAATTCCTGCATTTGGGTCGAATTCCCTGACTTCGTTGTTCGCTTTGCGTGTACAGTCAAGCGATTATTTGCTGTCTCCACGTGAATATCTTCTGGGCCATAGCCGCGAAGATCAAATCGCAACTTGAAGTGAAGCTGCCCGGTTGAATATGTTGGCGTGGGGGAAAAAAATTAATTAGAATGGGACCGGAATAACAATAGCAACAACAGACAGACAATTTCAACGAGAAACCTCAGACAGGTGTGATAAGGATCGTCACGTACCTTTCCATCTTCTCCGGGTTCGTATGCATCTCTCAAATAGTCCAGCATACCATCACCCCATCCACCTCTGGGCAACAAGGCACCGTGTCTACCACGTTCAGCCCGCTCCTTCAGATCTGGGTGATAATCGGGAATCAATTGATCTAAATGACGTTGAAGTGTTTTCATTTGTCTATCCATTCGTGCCAAGATAGATGGAACGTATGAAGGGGTGCCAAACGCGCCGAATGTGCCAACTGGATCCAGATCGAAATCATCCACGGGCTAGTGTAGGGCAGAGCGGTGCGGATGAATTAAATTAAGACGATGAGATCATTTCGGTAAAGCACTACTCTAGCACAGTACACTAAATTTCCAATCACCGAGTTGTCTTCAAATAATTTTTACATATACAAGGAAAGGACACTCACCACAAGAGAGAACATATTCCGCCAAACGCGGTTCCAGTCGTGGCTCCACCATTTGTTTGTCTCGTCAATCCAACGATCCAATTGTTCAGACCATTGCTTAGTAGTCAGTTGATTTCCATGATTACCACCACTATGCACCACTTGCTTCGGTTTCTTACCTCCATGTGATTTATCTAATTCATGAAGCAAATCGTGCCGACGTTGTTCGAGTGTGCGTTTATCTCTCTGAATCGGAATTGACTTTCCCTGAGGCTTCACCATTATTGTATCACTATCAGAATAGACAAACTACAGTCGAGTTCAAACACCAAGCAAGGGAGGAAAGTAAATGAGTAACAAACAAAAACTGCCAGAGACCCACTGCACCGGTCGCTTGTGTTGTGTTCTACTAGTGGTTTGTGATTCCACCAAAGCACGTGAATCTGATTGGTGCACCTCGGTCAACAAACCATTGGCTCGTTTTTTGGGCCAATGCCATGGAGGAGCTGGTGCACGTGATTCATCCAACCAAGCAGCAAACAGAATGCCGTCTGTGGACCGGCGACCTAGCTAGCAGACAGGTTTTCGCTGCCCTGACTTAGTCTGTCACGTGACCTGGCTGCCTCGCCGACCTTGAGACACGCGAGTCGGGGACGAAAATTATGTGGTCCAGGGCGTTAGCTGGGTTGGTTAAATGGCCGGTTAATGGCCATCACCTACTGTTCCCAATATTGCTGTGTAATGCTCCGTATGGCTTGCGAATGTTGTCTTAGCGCAATCCGATGGAAATTCATCTTGTCGGTCATTTTTATTCTAATGGATATTAGGTTTGGTGGGTATGACGGAAAACAGCCATTTATCTGCCTACGACAGGGTACTCTTGTGTGTATAGTATGACCACTGAAGTTGGTACAGCGCATATTGTCCGACACATTTAAAAATTTTGGCGGATTCACTATGAGCAAAACGCAATGACCCCAATGTTAACAAAACAATACTAGGCCAATTGAAGCACACCTGGGAACGAAATAAGGCACATTAAATAGGATATGCGAATAAACCAAACTGCCAAGCAGTTTCACGATCAAACATTTCGAAGGTAAACAATTTTGTTGCAGAGGACTGGAACTTGTGGTGATCCATCAATGAAGCTTTTAAATTTGCACAAGCAAAACATTCAGCAATTTTCGATCACATTCGAATTGGAGTCCGTTATATTGTGTACAAGCGCGATACGCCAAAACCCTCAAAATCAAGCACACAGTAAATTTGATTTAAAGGTCGAGACCTGTCTATCCCATACAGCTTTATCGACCGGGCATGATTGTTAGAAACCCCACTGTGCACCTAAGAAAAGTTTACTTATACATTATCTGTTCTGTCGTCACATTTTAAGCAATCAGTGGACTCGA